CTGTGCTCTTCCCACCACGGGTATCGAAACCTGGATTCTAGCGTTGTAAGTCCGCAGACATACCGCTGTGCCACTGGGGGGTTTTGTAGTAAAATTGTGGTATCTAATCTATGTAGTTAACTTAATTTTGTTGAGTAAAATTAAAAATAGGCCTTATTAATTACTGCCAATTTATGCTCGTTTTACAGATAATATGAAACATTCTGAGGTACATATTTCGATTACAATTTTACAATAATTTTGTGAATATTCTCGTGACTAACATAATTTGAAGTCCATCTATTTGTTTGGAGATGGCAAGAAAAGTTAAAGATTTTATTTAATAGATTAATTTTGGCAGAAGTGAGGGTTTTGTTAAATAAAATAATTTCGTAATAGAGCCCTGGATTAATGAAGAGTGTGTGGGAGTTTTGAAGGCTAATATATCGCTTTTATATAAAAACAAATCAAAACGAGTAGATCTATCAAATAAGTACATAAACAAAGGAATTTGAGCTGGAGGATTTTTCGTATCTGTTTTAAACAGATACGAAAAGTTAGTGATGAATAAAATTATACAGCAATTAGAATCATACGTACGATAGTATTTATACTTGGAATATGCTAGGTGTACAATATGTGCCATACAAATTAAAATCTCAAACACACTGCAAATAGCATGTAAACAAAACTTTATAAGCACTTTACACACAGAGTAACAAGCCACCAAAGCACTTGAGAAAGTCGGTAGAATAAAAACAAATATTTCACAAAAACACAAATTTGTCACTCTGACTATCTGATTGACCAACGTTGTTAGAAAGGCATAGCTCTCTCCTGCTTTCACCTTATGCAAATCTAAATGCACATAACAGAATTTCGCTACCTTGGCGAAAAACGTTTTTCTTAGTTTTACTTATAACCTTGGTAATAACAAGTAATAACAATAACCATTTTGCAACACCACTAACGAGCTAACAATACATTAGTATCCATATTCTATGATTACGAGCACGCTCTGTGAGTTTGCCAAGTAACAACCCGCCTTCATTTCACGTGCGGGTACAGGATTGCTTATGCGCACGCGCTACTTGATCAACCTGCAGATGTATCAGCTAGATAAAAAAACTTGGACTACGTAGATTCTCTAAAGCTAAGCTCTAACTAAGATTTAACTTTTGAAAGCGAAGCTTTCAGTTTTATACATCTCACTTGAGGGTTCTGTTTTAGACAAAACAATTATATCATAGTAGTCGTGCCTACATATAGTCTCCTACATGAGGACGAATGCTACCACTGCCAAAGTCTGAGACAGATTTACTGGAGTGCTTTGGACTGAAAACAAGAATAATAAATTGTAAAATTTACCTTTGCATTGTTTTCAAACTAAGTGAGACCTATTGACATCTAAGGTTGTACTTGAAACAGTGCGATTTTTAAAATATGCCTTTCAAGGAAACAAAATGAGAGAAAATGAGAAAATCTTATGTCCATAACCTTGAAGAGTCTTTGTCCCACTGAAGAAATTAAGAATTGTAAGAATTGAGATAAGGTTAGAAACAGTAATGCTGAATATGTGAAACAAGCCTTAGCCATTAATCCAGCCAAAGAAAATTGTGCCACCCTGGCTAGATGGAAAAAATATTGCAAATACATCAGCAAAAGCCAGAAAATTTCAAGACTTAGTACCAAAACCAGGTACGAGAAGGATAGATCTAGAGTCCAATCACTCTTGAGACTTAGCACCAAGATAAGCTACGAGAAGGATAGGCCTACAGCCCAGTCGCTCTGACAACTTAGTACCAAAACAAAAACAAAAGAAAAACTATGAGACAAATGTAAAAAAAATAAAAAGTAAAAAGTTAGGAAGTAGGAATGGGAGTAAGGAAAAAAGTAAGGAAATAAGGTAGTAATGAGTGAGATAATATTACAACACTTGGTGGTTTTTGACATGGTGCAACCTCAAAGTACTGTTGAAAAGTATGTCCAAGTTTATACTTTCAACAACAATAGACTGAGGCGGGAAATTTATAAGACAGATTCATTGTTGGTTGTTGTGACCACAGTGCTATGCTAGTTTGTTGGGGCCAAAGTGCCAAGACATGCATCACCGTAAGGGTTCTTCATAATGTATGTGGGACGTTCTAGAAATCATTTCATATACGTACGGTTTGTTGCTTAAAGTTTTTCACAGCATATAATCGTCGTTGTTAAACATGTGCACTAGGAGTTACATACAAAATATCCATTCTGTACCCAATAATATACCAAATAGTTTGCAACATTGTAGGAGCAACTTTTGTTAATTCTTCTTGGTTACGTTGACGCAATTCATTCTTACAGGTAACCGTCCTGCTGGAATAATACGTTAAGCTGTAATGCTTCCAACTGTGGCAAAGCAAAATTCTACAGCATGCCAAAGTATGGTTTTCCCATAACAGTTGCCTCTACAAATAAGAATGAACCAATGACAGTGTTATGGGAGACGTTTACTTTCGGACTGTCACTCTAATATTCACGTACCGTTAAAACATTAAAAATTATTCTTGCACGTGCAATAAACCGTCTGTCTGGCTATAGGAACAAAACTTATTGTGTAAGTAGTGCCTAGAACTTGATAGGGAATCTAGAAATGTTTGTTTGTTTGGAATTAAGCACAAAGCTACACAATGGGCTATCTGTGTTCTGCCCACCACGGGTATCGAAACCCGCTTTTCTAGCGTTGTAAGTCCGCAGATATGCCGCTGTGCCACTGGGGGTCATCTAGAAATGT